GGGTCTCGAACCCGCGGACTCAGGCAATTCACTCACCTCAGCCTCCCAAAGGCGCGGGATCACAGGCTGAGCCACCAAGTCCGGCTTTTTTTTTTTTTTTAATTAAAAAAAAATTCTTTCCTTTCTTCTTTTCTTCCCACCTGTCCTACTTCCTTCCCACATCTCTTTCTTTCCCTTCTTTCCCTATTTCATTCCCTCACTTATTTTTTTAAATATCTTAATTTTTACTTGATTTAAAATTTATTTTGTATCTATAATGTAAGGTTTAAAGTTAGCTTACTTTCCTACCTCCAATAATCAAGATTTCAAGACAGTTGCTGCAAAATATATAACAGTTTCTAGTTAAGCAAACTTACCTGTAACTAACACATGTTATTTAATGATGACCCTGCTACTCAGAACTAACAAAGATATTTAATGGTCCTATATCATCTGTTGTACTTTAGTTCATGTGAGATTCTTAAACATTAAGATCTAATAGCAACACTTAAACAAATTTAAATAGTGTAATTTAAAGGCAGAAAAAAGTGTTTCATAGCAAGATACAAAGAAAAGAGAAGACATGGTTGTCTTAAGGTTTATTCAAAAAGCCCAAGTTTGAGTTTTATAGATAAAAAATTGTTTGGAGTAGACAGAATAAAGTGACAAAGACAGCAGGGAGACAGGCTTAAAGAACATAAGGAATATTTTGAATTGATCTCAAGAGAGTATTGAGAGTCACTGTACCTTAGTGACTTGATTAAAACAATGCTGAGAACAAAACTTTCTTTCAGCTAAATAGACATCCTGCAAAACTGAAAGGCTGGAAAATCGTGTAATTGTCAAGAAATTACAGCTATTTAATTTGGCAGATAGCTATATTAAAGCTCAAGAACATTAAATGATTTACCCTTACAAAAGATATTATGGTAAAATCTGCCTATAAGCCTTAATTTTCTACAAGGAGAATATTTAATATTAAGCAATTGATATTTTAAGCAGAAAAAAAATAAAAATCTTTAGATATATATAGACCTAAATATATGGCTCTTTTAATTTTTACAAGTTTTGTTACTGATCATGAGTTTACTTCCATTATCTAGAAAGTGAGAAAATAGTATCTACCTCTCAGGTAATATATACATAGCTACATAGTACTAGGCATGGAGTAAGTGTTCAAAAAATCATACCTAAAATCATAGAATGATACCAACTCAGGGATATCTAGATTTTAAAAAACAGTATAAAAGTAAAAAGATAATGCAGAGAACAAGAAACAAAAGGAAGAAGAAACAGTACAAAATAAAACTTTGTTTTAATTTTTTCCCTTTTAAATATCAGTAGACTATAAAACTGAATATAGTTCACGGGCAGAAAATATAGAAATTAAAAACAGGTCAAGAGTCTAGGAAATATCTGAGCATCATTTGTCAGCTAAGACATGGAAGTAAATAGAATGGTAACGTAGGAAATAGGAAGAAATTAGAAAATTTAAAAACTGAGCAGCAGGTACTATAAGCCAGGAACTATTCCATGCCTGATGCAAAGTTCTTTCATGTAGGCAAAACTCTAGTGTTACTATCTCTGGGATAAACTCCAGGTTCTTAAACATAGCAAACAAGTCTGTATTCTGACTACCTCTCAGCTTTAACTGTTCCCAAACAAGTATCTTCAAATACAGCTATACCAAGTTGCTATCCTGACACTTTCTCTCATTTCTATGTCAGTGTGCTTTCTCCCCAATCTCTCAACTTTTAGCCAAGCAACTCCAATTACTAACTGTGCTCAGATGTAACCTCCATAGAGAAGCCACCACTGATCACTCAGGAGAGGTACTGGATTAAGTACCCCTCCTCTCTGCTTGCATATAGTAACCTTATCTTCAGATTATCACAACTGCAATTGCTTGTTTATTTATCTGCCTCCCCTACTATAATACAGACAGGAAATAATCCCACAGTGGCACATAGTAAGTACTCAGTAAATATGTCTAGAGTGAATGAGTTGTTAAAAGCAAAAAAAAAAAGCTAAAATGGAGAAACGAAAGCATAGAGAGGCGCTAGAAGAGATAGACCAGAGAGACATTGGTTGATGAAAAATCAATCTTCTTTGGTAAAGGTGAGATATAAAAGAGTCCAAAGGACATTATGAATCAACATGTGAGAGATTTTTAGAGATATCATTCAATATCCTCATTATAAAAACTAAGAAAATACGAGAATCTTAGAGTAGATATGTCTATTCTTGACTCGATTAAGAAAGACACATTAAAATATAATTTAAAAAACACTAACCTTCATATTCCTCTTCATTCTCAAGATAATCATCATCCAACACATTCAGCAGTCTTAGCACTGGAGTAGGAAGCATCACCAGATCTTCAATATGAGGGGCTGTTAAAGTTCATCATAATACGGTTATTTGTAAGTCCCCCCAAATAAATTGATAAATACCATGTAAAAGGACCTTTGGAATATAAACGTGTTCTGATGTCTTTTTTGACTGTCACAAAAAATAAAGACATAAACAGCTTACCAAAAGGAATGCTGAAGAACGGACTGCACAACGCCATTTCAGCAGGAATTCTTCTGCTAGGATCATCATGAAGCATGCTAAAACACGAAAATAGGTATCTTACAATTATTGCCAAATCTTTCAAAATGCAACTATTAAAGAAAATCAAAAGTCTTAATGTTCATCACAACATTAATTATATTGGCATGATTTACTGAATCATTTACCTATAAAGAATATAAATGCTATTTATTAGTAAATGATTCAATAAATAATATACATCTATAATATACTGTGATTTAAAATAATGTTTCTGGGGCAACCCCTTTGGGTCCCCTCCCGCTGTGGGAGTTTTTCTGTCCTCAATAAATCCTGTTTTCTAAAAAATTAAAAAATTTTAAAAAAAGAAATAATGTTTCTGGTTAATAAATGAAACATAGGAAAGTGATCCACAGTCTATAAAAGCAAGTGAAAAAAAGCTAGACACAGATTTAGAACAACACAATTTACTAAAAAATATAGTAGTGAATCACATCACATTTCTCTAATAATAAAGCAACTTGATAACAAAACCAAAACCCATGGACAACATCTATAACATAACTATGGGGATGCCCCAAATAACCAAAGCAAACCTGAGAAAAAAGAACAAAGCTGGAAACAACTCACCTCCTGACTTCAAAAAATACTACAAATCTATAGTAAGCAAAACAGCATGGCATTGGTATAAAAACAAACACAGACTGATGGAATAGAGAGCCTACAAATAAATCTACATATTTACAACGAACTGATTTTTCAACATAGGTGCCAAGAACACACAATAGCAAAGGAAAATAAATGATGAGAAAACTGGATAGCCACATGCAGAATAATAGAATTAGACCCTTCTCTCTCACTAAAAGCAAAAATCAACTAAAAATGGAATAAACACTTAAATTAAGACTCCAAACTATGAAATTAGTTTCACTGAGAAAAGCTAACAACATTGGGAGCAATGATTTTTTTGGATATGACCTCAAAAGCATAGGCCAACAAAAGCAAAAACTATAAAATAGGATTATACCAGACTAAAACCTGCACAGAAGAAGGAACAACCAACAAAGTAAAGGGACAACCTATAGAACGAAAAAAATATTAATAAACAATACACCTGCTGGGGGATTAATATTCAAAATATATAAGGAACTCAAAAGCCTCAACAGCAAGAAAACAAATAATCCAATTTAAAAATGGGTAAGAGACCTGAATAGATATTTCTTAAAAGACATACAAATGGTCATATGAAAAAATGCTCAATATCCCTAAACATCAGGAAAATAGAACTCAAAACTACAATGAAATATCACCTCATGCCTGTAATCGTTATTTATTAACAACAAAAAAAAAAGGATTTGAAAAAAGGAATTCCTTATACATTGTTGATGGGAATATAGTATAGCCATTATGAAAAGGAGTATGGAGATAACTCAAAAAATTAAAAATAGAGCTACCATATAATCCAGAAATTCCACTACTGGATATATATCTAAAGAAAATGAAATCAGTATGCTGAAAGATATCTGCACTCCCATGTTTATTGTAGCTCTATTCACAATAGGCAAGATAATAGAATAAACCTAAGTGTTCATCAACAGATGAATAAAAAAAGAAAATGTGTTATATATATATATATATACACACAATTGAATAGTATTCAGCCATAAAAAAGAAGGAAATCCTATAATTTTCAACAATATGGATGAATCTGGAGATCATTATGTTAAGTAAAATAAGCCAGGCATAGAAAGACAAATAAGTATGATCTCAGTCATACTGGATTACTTCTAAAAAAGTACTATATTACTGTAAAAAAGTTGATCTCATAGAAATAGAGAGTGGAATGTTGTTTATCAGAGGCTAGGGTGTTAGAAGGGTAGGGGACTTGGGGAGACACTGGTCAAAGGCTACACAATTACAATTAAATAGAAGGAATAAGCTCAAGAGATCAATTGTACAGCATGGTGACTATAGTTAATGATGTATTCTTGAAGAACACGAGAAAATAAATGTTAGGTATTCTCACTATGAAAGTGATTCCTATGTGAGGTAACGCATTTATTAATTAGCTAGAATTAACCATTCCACAATGTATATATACTTCAAATCATGTTACACACAATAAATACATACAATTTTATGTCACTTTAAAAAATTAATGTTCATAAGAAAAAGAAAAAAACCGAGATGGTGTTATAGTCTAATAAGGTCAGTGTATTTCTATACAGCAGTTGCAATGTTTGTAGAATAAAAAGGCTATTAGTTCCTTATTATAAGTGATAGCTTGTTAATTAAAAATAACCCACTTTAAAAAAAAAAACTATAGAGACAAATCATCAATAGCAATAAGATTTTCACCATATTGGCATCTATGTGTAAGGAACCAGAGAAAATCAGCAGTTGATCTGATGACTAGAGAAAAGAAAAACCCAAAACAGCCAACAGATACACACTTGAAAGCACAGCAAGTCAATCTGAGAAAAGCAGCTGAAACTACAAGGGGTTACACATTCTAATACCAGGTAGAAACAAGAGATTCTCTGCAAAATCTGAAGTTAGAGTAACCTAAACAATTAAGACCTCTTAAAACTAACCAGTCAAACCTTCCTTCAGTGCATGTTCCACAGCAAGAAGAAATCTTGGGAAGAGTACCCAAAATGAGCAGAATGGGGTATATATAGAAAAATGAAGGCAACAGAAAAAAACAGGGCAGGGAGAAGAGTTGGGAATCTCTGAAAAAAGCCTTCTGCTTTTTTGTCAACATTACACAAAAACAACAGAAGCAGGAGTCCTGTATAATCAGAAAAGCTATCCCAACTATACCTTCTTCTATAAGTTTAGAAAAATGAGCTTTACATAACAATTAGTAACATAGAAAGGATTATAACAAACTTATTATACAAAAAGAAAACTGTAAAAGAACACCTCTCAGATAATGAATGCATGCTAGAAGAAAAATGACAACACTGATGAACACTATAACCCACCATTTCAAAATAAGCTAAAGACATTTTTTTTTTAATGATAAGATGTGAAAAAGCAACAGAAGTCTAAATTAGAAAATCATAAAAATTACATAATGGAACTCGGAAAAGAATTAGAAATTTAAAAATCACTTCATAAATTAACATTATGCTAGAAGAGCCACATGGATGAATAAACACAACAGATAATGTCTTAAAAGAGAAATAGAAGGCAAAAAAGAGATAACTTTTAAAAGAAATAATGAAAGAGATAATACAGAATCAAGAGAAAATGTTAATACTGAAAAAAGGAAAAGAAAATCAAACATTACATAGACTAAGAGGGTCTGAAAGAGAAAACTAAAGCAAGAGAACAGAACTCATACGAAAAGCTGTAATTTTCTAATACAAACAAAAAAAGATCTGAAACTGCATAATGAAAGGCACATATGTTGCTGAGAATACTGACCTAGAACAATTAAAATCAAGATATATTCTGGCAAAATTACTACACTTTAAAGAAAAAGATACAATTCTTTGGGCATCTAGACAAAAAGACCAAGTGACTTGTGATGAAAAGACAATTAGTGAGTCATGATACTTTTCAACAGAAACATTAAATGTCAGAAGAAAATGCAGTAGCGTATTTAAGACACTCATGGAAAGAAAAATGTATGAGATTGGAGTGGGACACATCTAGGACTTTTGGAGTGGCTGGCAAAGTCTTATTTTTTGACATGAATGATAGTTACAAGTTGTTTACAATGTTCCTAAGGATGCATTAAGCTACACATTTGTTTTATGAGCGTTTTTAGTATCTGCATCTTATTCTACATAAAAAGATTCAAGCAATATGCATATGCAATACAAAATGAAGAAAAATATGGGAAGAAAATACAACAAAGTGCTAACACGAGGTGAGCTTATAATTCTTTTTCCTTATCACAGTTCTCTGTAGTTTCCAAATTTAGCATTATTTATATAAACAAGGGAGCAAGCTATTATTTTGAAAAAATGAATAACAAAGTCAATACTAGAACTTACGTGATTTGACTTCCAGACTAGAATCCATTTTATAATTTTACACTGCCATCTCTTCAATGCAAAATGCAATTTGTAATATCCAATATCAATCAAATACTAACAGCTATTTAAAACCACTTTAAAACACACACACGCACACATACAACGTGTATTTGGCGAAATCCAAACTAAATTCTGTAGATTATACTAATAATGTCAATTTACTGGTTTTGATATTGTACTGGAATTATATATTACCATTGGGGGAATCTGGGTAAGTGGTAGCAACCTCTCTGTAACACTTTTACAACTTCCAGTGAGTCTGTAATTATTTCAAAGTAAAAGTTAAAAACTAATTTGAAGGTGTACGGAGTCAATATTCCAAATAAAGTATAATACTCTGATTCAAGCAAAGGACACACCCTTTTCTAGCATACTATCATTTTATCCATCTCTGGCCCGTAATGCTAGAAACCTGAAAAGCCTACTATTTGATAACACAGTCATGCGATGTAGTAAGATATTTCAGCCAATAAAAATGGACACCGGGCTCGGTAGCTCAGCCTGTAATCCTGCGCTTTGGGAGGCTGAGGTGAGTGGACTGCCTGAGCCCGCGGGTTCGAGACCCGCCCGGGCAACTTGGTGAGACCTCATCTTTACAATAAATCAAAAAATCAGCCGGGCGTGGTAGCGTGGCCTGTAGTTCTGGTACTTGGAAGGCTGAGGCGGAAGGATTGCCGGAGCCCAGCAGGTTGAGGCTGCGGTGGCCGGGAGCAGCCACTGCACTCCAGTCTGGGCGACAGAGTGAGACTCCAACTCAAAAAAAAAAAAATGGACAACATATATGATAGTGACCTGATATGATTACATACAGCTGAAAAATTCCTACTGCCTACGACAGCTGTCATAATGTCATACATAGTATAACTCATTATTCATGTGTCTGTGGTGATCCTGGTGTAAAAAAAAACCTACTGCACTGCCAATCAATAAAATTATAGCAGATAAAGTTATGTGCAGTATACAATACTTGATAATAAACTGCTGTGTTACTGGTTTATATACTTATAACTATACTATCTCTTTTTAGTTATTTTAAAGTATACTCCTCCTTATTAAAAAAAAAAAAAAAA